ATCAGTATGATGTTCATTCTCTCTGATTCAGTTAGATTTCGATTGGGATGAGAGGTACTAACTAGGCAGCCGATATGAGTTCGACCAAGCTGTAGTAACGCGTGGTAGTCGGGCGAAGCCCTTGGTGATTGAAGTGAAATAAAAATCTGGTGAGTAGATGGACCTCATAGCTCAGTTGGTAAAGCATCGTGCCGGAAACCTGGTGGTCGCTGATTCGAATCCGGCCACAGTCCAAGTTTTCATTTCACCTTCAGTTATCACCCAGTATCAATACTAGTCTGCCAAACTACGGCTTTCTCAGATAGTCAAAATGGTAAGCAGATTAAAATGTAATTTTCACAATGACCCTTAGTTGTGTAAGTTACCAAAATAAACTTCTTATAAAAGATAAGATATTAACATCAAGATTGGTGAAAATAACAATACTATTCAGTTCTTTGCAGTTAAACTTTACTTGACTTTTAATAGCTGTAAATTGACATCCATTTGAATGGAAGATAAGCTTTGTCGTCTGGTTGACTCAGTCTGTACCTACCAGTTTACCTGGTTTTGTTGAGCAAGGGACATCGACCGTAGTCAAAGAATACTTTCTGCATATACACTGCAGCAAGTTCCAGTTCGGTTTTATAATGGTAAATTCAAGTCAACCAGATGACCTCCAGAGACAGGATAAATCCCTGTGAAGTCAGACAAACCTAAAGTTATGTCCATCATTATATTTACAATGAAGTGGGCATTCGTGATAGACACCACTAGTTGTCATGAATTATGATTTTAACTCTCCATAAGCCCTCACACGAGTATGTGCTTCCGAGTAGAGAGCTTTGGTAGGCATTTTATACTTGCTCGGTACTCCTTTTACAGTCAGACAATATCATAGTCGACAGGCTGAAAAGTTAGTTATTAGAAATGGATGAAAGTTAATATGATTCCAAATTAAGAAGTTTATAGGCCACTGAGAATTTAAATAATAACAAAGTTCGATACCTAAAAGTAGAATAAACATAGTGCAACAACGTGATGATGTGCTTTAAATTTGGTTCATTTTAATTGACTGAATCATGTTCTTTTACGTTCGGAAAAAAGTTAGAAGTATAGTGTAATAATAATAATAATGTCTTTGCTATGTATTCATCATATCCAGTATCAGATCTGTTTATTTGATACAACATACAGTGATACAGTAGTATTTACTGGATAACGTTACAAGCATAAATCATTGCTGGTTATCATATCAAAATAATCACATAACCTTCGATATCTGATTTGTATACTTCGCTATGGTTATGAGTAATAATTAATCCTCAAGCCAACACTTAGTAAATAATGCTGTATTACTTACTGTGTCCTATATCATGTAAACAAGCCTAATATGCAGTTAACTTCTACCACAATTCACAATTTTCCCTCTTGTACGTCGTATTCGTTAAAAATTGTTTGCTTTTTTGCCTAAATTAAATTGAGTTTCCGTAAGTAGTTCTCATTCTCACTACTGACGCCATTTCAAGCAGTACAGATACCTAACTCGTTTTCATAGAATCAAACTAGTTTTAGTGTCATGCAGCTTCTTTTACATGCATTAAAACCAATATGTAGAGGTTGAATAAAAAATACCAAATCAAACAGGCAATTCAGTTGGTGCGGTTGTGAACCGTCACTGAATCAGACGATTAAGGCGTTTTTTACTCATCTTGACTCACTATCCGAAACATGTTTCAGCTGAAGTAGGACTCAGTTTCTAAAAAATGGCTAAAATCGATAAAACATATTCATGTCAACAATCAACTGTCTCTAACTGTTCGATTCAGTCACACTGGAAACTGTGTGCCCTCACCAGCATTCCTGGTTGGAGCAAGGAAGGCCAGAACAATGATATGATTCGAAGCCGATCACAATAGTTCAGATGCATCTGCAGCTAATTTTTCAACTAAACATTAACATTTCTTCCTTTTGTTTGGTATTACGTTAGCCAAATTTCTATTTCCTGGTCTTAAGTCATACTGATTTCCACTTCAGTGTATTGATGTCAAGTATGGCAAATTATACTCATGTGCATTTATGTCAGGTCTAGTATTACTGATATCTTTCTCTTGAAGAATCAGTGATCTGCAAAATAACGCGTGTAATTGCACTTAGTATGCATAACACAAAGTTTTCTTTTATGGATGAACCTTCTGTTTCTGAAAATAATACTTCCAGGGATCTTTTACCATGACTCCTTAGCATAAATTCACTCAGAAGCAATTATCTTCCTATCAACTGATGTCAGTGTGTAAGCTAGCTGATTTGTTCAATTTGGGAGTATGTGGGGATTTATTGATTTCAAGTTGGTATTCATCATGGACTGACATGAGATGGAGAAATATTAGAAACCTGGGAGCACTGGACAGCTGTTTCGTCCTGCTACGGGACTCCTCAGTGGTGCGCACCCATGACCTCGTCAGGAATCGAACCCAGCGCTTTCAGGTTCCGTGACCAGCACGTTACCGTTGGGCCAATGAGTTGCAATCCAATGGTCCATGTTTTCAACTTTTGTCAGTTGATGACAGCGCGACTATCACACAATGTCATTGTTGAGTATTTGTCCTTACGACCACGAAGTTTGCCCCATCGGTCACAACTTCTCATTGGAAGTTCAGGAATCACCTCTCGAAGTTATTTCATAATGAGCTGCAGATCTAGAACCAGAAGGTCCTTGGTTCGATCCCTGACGGGGTTATGGGTCCGTACTGCTGAGGAACCCCATGCTAGTTAGAAACAGCTATCCGGTGCTCCCAGGTTCCCAGTGTTACTCCAGCTGATGCCAGTCCATGATGATAGTTGATTTGTGTTCTCAGAATATATGCATATTTTTTTATTCCAATGAAAACATATAATGAACGAGTATTCTTCAAACTTGAGGGATTTTAGTTGGATGAAGGAAATCGGCAGTAAGCCCTCCTCAGTTTTGGGTTTAGTGTCTGCTGGCACTCGTCAGGAACGTGTAACTGCAACATCAAGGGGATTCATATCCTCTGTGCTATTCAAACTCGCGTCACTCAGTGCTGCAATCAGAGACGTCAGCACTGAGCCAATAGAGCTGAGACTAACCTCATGTAGGGTGCATTAACTGGTCACTTGACAGTAACGAATTTCATGTTTTCTAACCCTCAAAGCCGATCAAATTTTATCAAAGCTCACCATCATCATTCAGTTTGAATGAATCTCCTGGCTTGATGGTTGCATTGTAAAATGATCGATGGTATTTAGTCAGCACTTACAACTAGACAAAATGAAATTGCTCACTCTTCAATGACCAAATCAATATGAACTACACTGAATACATCTACCCTGATAACAATCATTTCACTTTCAAAATGATATCAGACATGAGGAAAACTCTCTTAACAACAAATAAGATTGTGTTCATATAGATATGAAAATGTGCTATACTACAAAAAGAGAAACTAAAACTACTGTGTAATATTTACATTAAGAAATTTTGTCAATTAACCGGAAGATACAACACAAACATACCTGAATAAATTACTACATGATCAATAATCTGAATACAAGAATTAAACATTCAATTTAAACAAAATTAAGACGAAATTTACACTTTACATTTACTTAAAGTTAGATCTCAAAAAAAGAGAAAAGTATTCAGAGTCACTTCACTTTTAACTCATTCTAACTGGTTGTTAAAAGTTTATAATGAGTGGAACAGTATTTAAATCCCATGAAAATGAGGTTATCAATTTCCTTGGCAAAATTTTAACAACAAATATACAGTTTACAAAAATATTTATTATCATTATTATTATTTATCCTTTGGGTTCCTAGTGCAACATAGGGATTCAGTAGCACACAGTCATTTCACTCTCTTCTCTCCAGTCTCTCAAACCTGGCTCCACCACTCCCCACAACCTTTCATTTCTTCCTCACACCATCTCCTCAATCTCACCGTCGCCTCGGATACCCAACTCGTCGTTTCCCATCTGGATCTCACTCAAGGGCCTTACATGGCTTGACCTGGCCTAGCCTAACCTGGCCTCGCGCGTCATATCTCCAATCCATCTTCTCAGTGTATTCCCAATACATCTCCATTTCCTTCTGCATATCTGTTAAGTGATAGGTTCTTGCCTCGTTGGTTCGTTGCAAGCCAGCCAGTTCCTCCTTGTTTATTCTTATTATTCTCGCCATATTATCTCCATCTTCAGTATCGAGTGAGCGTAGTTGGCAGCTGTTGATGAAAGTCTGTAGTTTGTTGGAAGTGATTTTCGTGAAGCACCAAGTCTCTCAACCATCACATACATCACATATCACACTGACTTGATTGACCTAGTGTTGAAAATCTGAATGTTGTTCGTGCTTTATGCTGAGTGCATTGAGTGCAGTGCAGTGTAGTGTAGTGTAGTAGATCTCCACACTGGTTTCAGGTTGATGAAGGAAGGCCTGTCTTGCTTTTCCTTATAAAAATATTACTCGACAATAATCAAAACATATGCACTTAGTCAACCTCCTTTCTAAGCATTTGCAAACTTTAACACTTGTTTTTAGTAAAATGTGGTATTGTATTCATTTTGGTGAACCCAGGACGCAAGTTTCGTCCTATTCGGGACTCGTCAGCTGGATGTACCTGAGCCTCAATAATGATCTTGTTCCCACTGAGACTCAGACCCAGTGCCCATCAGTTCAAACGCCAAGAGCGTTATTCACTGGAGCATGAGAGCCACCTCTTGTACAACGGGTATCATTTGTTGTTGTTTGATATTTTTAATTTCCCGTAACTATATATTCAGATGACGAGTCTCAACTAGGACGAATTCCACTGTTGGTCATCAAGATGAGTACAACATAAGGAATATTCGACACCACTGAAGCATCCGTGTAAGATGCCATCTGCCAACAGAGGTCGAGCAATTCGACCCAGTATAGAAACAGGAAATTACACACGAAAAGTGATATTGTTTTACAACTATTAAAATTAACTCTAATTTATTCATTAACTCAAAACTTACTTGGAATCTTTTTGCTGCCCAGTCATTTCATCCTTAATTTGATCTACTGAGCTCACAGTTTCATCCAATCCTTTTGTTGATAAACTCAGTCTGGAAACAGTTTTGTCTCGTAACATAATCATAAGAAAACAGACGGAGTTATAGTTAATTTGAAAAGAAATATAACTGGAATCAGATAACTTCGCAATCAGGTGTAATGAGGATTAGTAATGTAGTGTATGCACCAGTTTTCTTGAATTAAAATGAAAATTTAACTTAACGCCACACAGGCCTAGGTACTTAGCTACGAGTCAAATATGTTGTGTAAACGCTGATCATATTACTAGATTGCTGAGGTCATAGTGGGTAGAGTGAAATTACTGTTTTGATTGAATGTACTACCATTGTCTACTGAGGACTTTCTTGCCCGCAAAGACATAAAGACTCAGCAAATGTTTCTTATAATTTTACAAAGGACAGATCAGAGGCTTGATTCTCACGGGTTAAGATTGACTGGTGACTTATTGCTCTATTTATCTTATTTAATCGACCGTTTGCTCCCTGATATACAGTTTACGGTTATTACCTAGTGGCAGGTTTTGTACATAAGTAATCTCCACTGGGTCGGCGTAACGGTTAACGCGTTCGCCGTGAAAGCCGAAGGTCCTGGGTTCGATCCCCAACCGGGTCGTGGGTGCGGACTGCTGAGGATTCCCATACTAGGACGAAACAGCTGTTCAGTGCTCCCAGATTTTCAATGGTTCCCCAACTGATGTCAGTCCATGATGAATACTACTTCGAAAATATTCCTGCTCATAATCTCTCTACATTCTACCAGTATAATTCAGTTTAGCTGTCTACATGATAGAAAGAAAACTATTAGGAAAAAAGATTGAACGAAAGTACATTGGTGACAAATCAACAAAGATCGATGATATTTTCACTTTTACATTATTGATATCAACCAACATGAAGTATATCACTGACCTGACACATCCATTTCTGATGAATCCGATGAGTTTACATACAGTGTCTTATTGAAATATAGTTTCTATATCTCAAGAGGTTTAAAACAGTGAAACTGACAAAAACGATTGCAGCAACATTAAATATATCTTTGGAAGTTGTTCTACGCTTTCTAGACAGACATAGGCACCAACTATCAAAATCTTAGTACTTGCTGGATATCCATAAGTGCAAGATCAAATGAACAGGCTATTTGGTAACCAGATAGAAATCATATAATAATCACATCACCGCGATATACGGAGATGCATGAGCTAGTTGACTAGGGTCTTGTGATGCAGTAACGCAATGTGACATGATAGCATGCCAAATGGAGAACATGTTGGACTGTTTATCTTCAGTCAACCAAGCCCATTAAAACTATGAAGGTCAGTATCAATGTCCAATATCGTCCCATCCTAGGTTATCAATTTCAGGGAATTATTTCCCTCTTCAACTGCTCCAGGTATTTTTCTATTTTTTATATGATATGCGTTTCGAAAATTCATTTTCATCTTACGTTAAAAATTGATTGATCTCAAGAAAAAATGCAAAATTTCATGTTGTACAGACCTAAGTGCTGATCGAACTATACCGATCAAAATTGAGAGTGATGACCAGGCCAGATAACTCATCTTGGTGAAATTTATTTGTTACCAGATGGCTGGAGGTGATTGGTTGGAAATCCTGAACCTAGGTTCAGCAAGGTCTACTTGTAAACCTGATGCTTTTTTAGATACTGGAAACCGCTTCACCGAGTGCATTGGTCGTGAACGTTCCCATAGAGTGTCGGTCTTCTCAATGGCGCTAACATGATTTGTTGATGAATGGCAGTAAGCACAAAACCTTGGTCCTGAAACTTTCGTTAGCTACTTTCACCCAGCCAATTTCATAAATACACCATACCACCTTTTCCATCGTTTGTAAAATGGCTTCGAGAATTACATTACAGCTGATTTAGGTTTATACTTAGTTTTCTGATGAAACTGTGAACAAAAAAGCGAAAATCCCGTCTTACCTAAAGACTCTGTAGTAGATAAAGCAGCACTCAATTCAGATTGCATTAACTGATCCTTAAATAGGTTTTCTTTCAAATTACTCGATTTCTGTTTATCATAATATTTACGTCGTTGTTGATGATAATGTTTGTATAACATTTCGGCATAACTGACAGCAAGACGAAACAGCCGATGGTACTTATCACAACAGTGTTTTCCAGATAAGTATGATGAGTCCACGGATGACGACGATAAGACTCCACCACAGAACTTACAATTTTTACTTCCATCTGCAACTGCGATCCTTTTTGCATAGGTCTTAGCCAATGAGGAAAATTTCAGTTTTTCCAGATTATTTCTACAGTATACATCTTTTACAACCTTCAGAAGGGCAAATATGTGATATGACCATGTATCAAAATTGTGAGATAGGCGAATGAATTAAGCAAACCATAATCGAGTATAGACATTAACGGTAAGACAGACATTAATCACGATCACTTATTAACTCTTGATTGGTTCACATCTCCATTGAAAACTCACTTGTTGCCTAATTGGTGTTTTGATTGGATAAGTGGTCAACTTATAAAAAGAGGTGTAGGTGAGAGTTTTTGATAAAACTGAACCATGAGAGTATAAGGGTTGTCGTTGCTCTACCAAGTGAGCTAAGAAATCCAACTGGCCATTAACCTGGAAGTCGCTGGTTCAAATCCTGCTGCGGCCCGGAATTTCATTTCAACTTCAATCATCACCGAGCATCAATAATGACGTTGACACTGAGGTGAGAACTGAATTGGTTGAGGATAGATTAGGTCATTCAGAACAGAGTTGTCAGTAGTCACTTCAGAAAATTTCATAAGAGAACCGTGTGTGTACTGAGATGAATAGTACTGATAATTATGATGACAATGGTAATAAGAATAAGGTTAATTCAGTGAAACAGATCAGGAAGGGAAAACCAAAATATAAGATAGGGGTAGTAATTGAGGACAAAGAGTGAATATGATTAAACGATGTTACAATTCCTACCATGATAGATTCAGGCTGACTTTCATTTCCTTTTGAAAACACTATCCGAATTCATAATTAATTACGTAACCTATCTTCCACCCATTCAGTCTGAACATCCACTTCTTTCCTTTGCATTATCACTTGACCTATAAAAATGTTGTTTTCTATGTCATAACAAAACGTATAAGCGAACAATATTATTTACAGTCAGATCTCATTAGACTTCACGCTAACATATATACATAACTTTCTGCCTGTTTGTAAAATTACTACTTATTGACATGTTATTCTCTGTTGTTTTGTTGGATCGAATTGTTCGACCTCTATTGGCACATGGGCTCCTATGCAGATACCTCGTTATTGTCTGAATGTTAATTATGATAAATTGATTGATTGTGGCTAGCAGAAGAATCCAGGGAGCGTGTTTCGACCTATTTGGGACTCGTCAGCTGGATGTACCTGCACCCCAGTGATGTTGTTCCCACTGGGACTCGAACCTCGTACCCATCGCTTCAAACGCAGGTGCAGGTACATCCAGCTGACGAGTCCCAAATAGGATGAAACGCACGTCCTTGACTCTACTGCTAGCCACAACCAACCGATTTATTTGTTTGTAAAATGCCAAACAATCAGGGTAATTTGTGAGTCAAATACAACATAGATACAGACTATGTACTTTAAAATAATAAAATTAGTGATAGTATAAAGGAGTCTGGTTTAAAGGTGAAATAACAATGAAATTTCCTAATAGCTATGACCTCGACGAATATAAGGATCCATCCTCAACATGTTTTGTAAATACGTCTACAGGACTATCATAGCGCAGTCCTTAAGCGGAAACTTGGCGTTGCCGTTAGAAGAGATTACTATGCAACTAGGGTTTGACTAATAGTCACTACCAAGCCTGCATATTCTCTCAAATCCTTACAGATTGTGAACGACAATATCACAGCCCACTGCATCCACCAGTTTAAATGTACGTGTGGTGACACATACATAGAGAGGACTCATAGATCCACGCAAGCAAGGGCCTTGGAGCATACTCCATAGTGGCATCACGAGCAAATTGAATCACCTGAACCCATAAGCGTTGGTAGCAGACGTCCAAGTTCTTCGATCGCGAACCATATCGTTGAGACAAATCACATGATTGATGTTTTTACGTCCCTTAGACCTATTTACAAGACATATTGAGGACGAATCCTAATATGTGTTGAGGTCTTAGCTATTAGGAAGTTTAAATCACCTCAGTGTGTTCAGAAACTATTTATTATCACACTAAATCTCTCTTCGTAAATTCAACTCTAAAAACAAGTTCGATGTACTATTATTTTCGCTCTATTGGTTTTCATTGTTATTTCACCTTTAATTCAGTCTTCCTACTTGACCTCTTTACATATTCTCACCCTTTATTTCTTTACAAGTAGGAGTGCGATGAGATTATTCGAAATGTGTTGCATAAATACATTACACGATTCAGACAAATTATGTTTTTTTACTGTTTTGTTGAAGTTTATAAAGGGAACTAATTGTTATAGATAATATGAATATCATTTGACTGTCTGAGATAGCTGTAGTCTGGCGGACTGGTATTTGTATTGAGTAATGATCGAAAGTGAAATGAAAATTTGGACCGCTGCCACATAAGAACCAGTAACCACCGGGTTTCCGGCTATATGTTTTACCAACTGAGCTATAAGGTCCGACTACTCACTAGATTTTCTTTTATTTCATTTCAATCACCAAGGGTTTTGCCAGATTACCATGTAAATTCATGACGCCTTACTATCGCTTGATCGTATTCACACTGGCTGCCCACTCAGGACTTCTCATTCCAATTGAAACCTAATTAAATTAGAGAGCATGAGCATCATGTTGATTATCATTTGACGATTTGAGCTAGCCGTAGTTCGGCGGACCAGTATTTATACTGAGTGACGATTGAAGGTGAAATGAAAATTTGGACCGTGGCCACATAAGAACCAGTGACCACCGGGTTTCCGACCCGATGCTCTACCAATTCTGCCAAACTTCGGCTATCTCAGATAGTCAAATGATAATCAACATGATGTTCATCCTCTCTAACTTAATTGGGTTTCGATTGGGATGAGAAGTCCTGAGTGGGCAGCCAGTGTGAATGCGATCAAGCGATAGTAAGGCATCACGAATTTACATAGTAGTCGGGGAAAATCCTTGGTGATTGAAGTGAAATATAAGGAAACCTGGTAAGGAGTCAGACCTCTTAGCTCAGTTGATAGATGGTCGGGTCAGAAACCCGATGGCCGCGGTCCAAATTTTAATTTCACCTTCAATCATCACTCAGTATAATATGAATACTCAAAGTGACACGATAGTCTAAACAGCTGTTCAGACGGATAAAATATGTCAACGCTTAGGAAACAACAATAAGGTTGTGTGCTACTGGAGGATGAATGCAGTGAATAAATAAAGTTTGAACGTGAATATTGTAGTGGTGTGAAAGGGGTGACAGAAATCAAATAAAAAGGGAAGTACATTTTAAAATTCATAAGTAAGGTCATTCATTAGGTTTCCTCTTTACAAGACAGAGAAAGGAGTTTAACGAATTTTTACAGGGCTTCGGATTGCTCATTCGAGTTCCTATAGCCTCATCTATATGCAAAAGGTGAATTCGATGTATCACACAGTGGAACAGTATCGTTTACTGGATTACATATCAGACATAATTTATTATCTTTAGTCATGTCAAGATGATTACACAGCTTTGAAACATTTTTTGTATAGTTTTAATTTCTCACCTCCTTTGTGATAAGCCCAGCATTTTTAAAATTATCTTACTAGCTATGCATGCAATTACACGCAACCACACGATACAAAGGGACAGGATGAAAATCCTTAAAACTAACATGGCAAGGTGGTTGATTGACAGACTGACAAAATCTCTCACCTAGTGGGGACTTTTATACCGCTTACCATTTAAAGCTAATATTTACTAGTTGACGTAAAGATTAGGAATTACTGTTAGGATGTGGCCCACTTATGTGGTTCTCTACATTCTATGAAACGAAAACCCATGAAAAATCTCTAGTTTTATAAACAGAATCAAACAGATCAACAGCTACTTATGCGTAATCTATCCCCAAAAACAATAATGAATACGTTATTAGGTTAAGGTCACTCTAGGAATAATTCAAGGACAGAATGCATGTGTACTTTCAATGGCGTATGGACACCATTGATAAGAATATTCGAATTTCTTTTTAGGAAATTGGTATTTGAACAATTCACTATATTTAACTCAATAATATGCCAGGGATACTTGGTCACACTGTTATGATGAGTTCAACTGACGTGTATATTGAATGACATTCATCATGGTGTAAGGGATTTATTGTGCGAAAGAGTTTTACAGGTTAGTACCTCGTAGGTTATTCAGTAGAGCACCGGGCAGTTAACCGGTAGTCTCTGGTTCGAATCCAGCCGCTGTCCAAATTTTCATCTCATCTTCAATCATCACCAAGTTTTAAATGTATGTCTTATTGATCAAGAATGATAGAACAACATTAATGACGGATATACATAATTTTCGGTGGGTTAAATACTTGAATAAAACGTTAAAAACATATATGATTTATAACAAGACATATAAGCGAACAATAGTGTTTCGAATTAGATCTCATAAGGCTTCACTCTAATATACATAACTTTCAACATATTTATAAAATATTAACCAATCAGGGTAATTTGTAGGACAACGACAACAAGGAATATGGATCGTATAAAGATTAATGAAGATGGTCATAATGACATGACAATGTAAAACGGTGTTCAGACAGACAAAGTAGGTCAAAGATTGAAAAAAAAAGAACAATAAGGTTGTGTGCTACTGGAGGATGAAGGCGGTGAATAAATAAGATTTGAATATGAATACAATAGTGGTGTGAAAGGGGTGACAAAATGAAATAAAAATAAAAAGAAGGACATTATAAAATTGATAAGTAATGTTCTCCCTGGTCAAGGCAGGGATAAAGGCTGTGGAAATTTTTTCTGGATACAGAGCTTTGGATTATTTAGTTGGTTGTGGCTAGCAGGAGAATCCAGGACGCGCGTTTCGTCCGATTTGGGACTCGTCAGCTGGATATGCCTGCACCCCAGAGCTTTGGGATGTTCATTTGAATTCCTATAGAATCAGCTATATGTAAGAGGTGGATTTGAACTCCATAGGAAAGTTTCGATGGTATGTGGTAAGTCACTCTGAATACTTTTGTCTGATCTACTCCTCTGTGATTACTTTCAGCTAGGTGCTACAGAATAGAGCTTCTTTTAGATTTAACCCGTCGTTTACCCAGCCACGAAGGTAGATGTTTAGTAATACGTTGGTTCAGTTGCCCAGTCATACGCCCGATATAACTGTAACCACAGGAGCAATTAAACTGATAAATACACATGGGAGTGGCGAAACTAGCTAACTTGTCTTTCGTTTGACACGAAACAAATCAGTGACTAGAAAAGGATAGACATGGAAAGTTCTTTTAATGGTTCTCGACAGTCTGTGGAATAGAATCTCACTAAGTAGGTATATCACCATTAAATTGTACGTTTATTAATAGTGGTTTCTTTCGAGCGTTTGCTACTTCAGGTCTTTTCACCGGTCTATTCATGTGTTTTTTAAATAAAATTATTGGGATAACCTATTTCCACTAATGAATTCGAAATCCACTCTAACTCACTGTGTAGAGTGTCATCTGAGCAGATTTTCCTTGTTTTGGCTGTCAAGCATTTCACTAAACTTCTTTTATATCGTATCGGAGTGAAACTAAGGAAGTGTGTGTATTGATATGCAGATTTGTTTCTTCTGTAAATGCTTCTGTGAAGTGATCCATCTCCTCGTCTACTTAACAGATCGAGAAAATTTAGCTTATTGTCTTGTTCTTCTTCACAAGTGAAGGCAAGTGACGGTTGTACGCTGTAAACTTCCTCAGTAGTTCGTTCTGATCAATTATAATAAATGTATTATCCAATTATCTGTAATACATATCTAGCTTGTTGATGTCATCCTTCAATGGTCCATTCTGCAGTCTGGCCAGAAAAAAGTTTGCAGGGATTGGGTCTAATGGAGATTCCATCTACTTTTCCATAGCGTGCATTATTGGAAATCAAGTATACATTCAATGTACATCTAAGAAGTAATTCCTTAAGGTTGGACTTAGGAATTTCAATGCTGATTTGTTTCTCTATCAATTATTGACACATGAAATCAATTGTTTCAATGAGTGGTACGTTAGTGAATAATGACGATACATCTAACGATATCATAAGTTTTGCACTCACATTTATGTCATCTTGTAGATGAAATCTAAAACATCCTTCACACTATGTTTTACAACTAGTTTGTGAAGGGGTCCTGATATCTGGACCAACCATTTTTTGATTTTATGATATAGCGAGTTATACATATCTAAGACTGGACGAATGAATGGTCCTAGTTTTTGGATTTTAGCCAGGTCATAGGGCCGTAGTATGCTACATCCTATGGGCTTCAGTGATTCATGCACTACTGGTGAGATGACACCTGTCTGCCTCAGTTCCTTAAGACAGTTAGTTCTGTCCACTGTATCTCACTAGATGGGTCACAGGTTTGAACCATACTCCCCTACCGAGATTTGGTCAGCCAGATAGCATCATTAACCCTCACTGAAATAAGCGTGATTCACTGCATACTGTAAAAATGTCTAGATGGTTGCTGAGTATATTCCAGTTCATTTTCCAAGTTGGCTGGATGATAAGTTAGAATCCCGAATAATCATTTGTCTATCGTGTTAGGCTATGCAAAATTTTCTTTTCACGAATTTTAGGAAATGGAGAACAAAATGTTTCATAGTACACGACATATTCTTAGTATTTTGTCGCCTTCTCTTTAGGCACATTCAGAGTGGATAAAAATTACACAGTATGTACTACTACGACCAATTTGTGTATCCTGACAACTTGGAGGAAAACAAAGAGAAGTAGTGAAATTGTTCCAACTTGGGAGTTCAAGAGTGCACACCCGTGTGTATTATCTCATTCCCCCTTTTTTTTTAGCTTCATGCTTAACATAACTTCTCCCTCGAGTCATTAGGGTATGTAAATCACGTTTCGTCGTATGGATCATGTAATCCCTCGAGTTTGCATGTGGCTAAAGGCGACAAAATTTCAATGAATTCATCGTATGTTATACAACTTATTATCTTGGCTTTATGCTTATGTAATCTGTCAAATTTATAACTACTTGTCTATTATTAACAAAAATGAAGATTTTTTATCAAAATCTGTCTTATCGAATAAGCTCTGGAGGACCACTTATAAAAAATCTTTTGGTGTAGAGTTTAGATAAAGAGTACTAGGCAAGGAAGGCAACCCAAGTAATGTGGTTGTAAACCTTCACCGGCTGAAGTATCTTGAACATGTGTCGCAAATGTCAACCCACCAACTGGTTCGGTGTACAGTGTTAGCCGAAACAGGATTGGACTGGATGAAGGCTCAGGGTGGACACACCAAGACTTGGCACCAGTCGACGATGTTTCCGACTGCCGGTTTGGGCTGTGTATACTACCTGTCTGGGGTACCCGAGACCATAGGAATCAACAGCTTAAGACAGCTAAAGATTGGTCACAATGACATAGATGTGTCCGCCTCCAAAGTTTGAACATTCTTACTTACCCTTATTTTTCAAATTGCTTCTTCTCCCATACACTTTATGCCTCTTTGATACCATTCTGCCCACTTGTTTTTTGTATGCTACAGTGAAGTGTTGTACCATGAACCAATACAATTTAGAGCCAGGATCTGGGTCGATTTCGGCTGTCTGTCTATCCTCCTAATAAATTAATTGTTAAAAACTAAACAACCAACGGTGAACTTATGGATTGTCGAGGTTTTGTCGGTAGTTAATATTTCAAATGTTTTATGATATGTTAAATTTGTCGTGCTTCTGTTTTGAATTTGATCGTTGAATTTCAGCCTAAATATAAAAACCTAAGTAAGCAACCACATCGTGGTTGGAGATGCCCTGTAGTAAAAAAGTCATGCTCATCCAATGCATAACGCCTCGCCTAATGACACTGGTTATAGGCTCTCTCATAATTTCTAATACTACAAATTTAATTTTTAAAAAAATCAATAGTTCACCTACTGCAGTATGGAGCACTGTACGAGCTACGTGTGTATGAAACACTTCGACACCACATACATCAACAGACTTGTCTGTTTGTTTATTTTCAGAGATATTGCTCACTGGCTTAAGGACTCAACTTTCAACCAATGTGTACCAGATTCGAACCCTCCTCCATCTACCTCTGCCTAGGCAGGCGGGTAGTACCGCAAGTTCTCATGCAAAAAATAAAGCTCACAGTCTAGAAAGTAGCCATGTACTGGGTTGAGTTACATCATAAATTATTATACATATTAGCGTGAAATATGGTATCGTCATGAAACACACAATTGCTCTGCAATATTTTTATGTGCACAGGTTGACGACAAGCTTATCAGTTACGTAAACAAGTGACTGAAAATCAAAAATGGTCTCTCTGAATCTCAGCCCTTTGTGAATTTGTTATCAAAGGAATTGTTTGATTACTCTAGGTTTTTTCCAGTTTTATCTGTGTAAAATTTGGGAAATTATAGTATCAACTCGGGGATAAACTTTTTGAAGTAAAGTTGCGAATAAGGTGTATTAAAGCATTCCACGCATAAATATTATTATATTTTGAAATATGCACCTTCAATAGTTCAATTTTCAATGGTAAATTGTGAAGACACATGCCCTGTATATGTACGTTCACTTAAATATCGAATCATGTAAGATCTAACAAAATATCCAGTCCATTTGAACTATAATCCTACTGAAATGGTATTCAGTACTGGCTAAGTTACCAAGTATGTTATTTTATATGATTAAGTGTCTTATATGACGGTATGCAAGAGATGTTCTGTAAAGGTTTCACAAGTGAACCCTTTAACAATAAAATTGATATCTAACAGAGAATTCTGCTGAATTGCCTTTTATTCAGTCTGCTTTATGCAACACCAAGTAAAAACACTACCAACTTAAATGAATACGATATCCAATCGAGTAGTTTAAAGGAGGGACAATTTAAGTAGGCATATACATAAATAAGCTTTGTATCAAATCTTAGGGATGAAGATAAACTGCAGATCTGTTCTAGAACAGGATAAGTTTGATAACAACCAATAATAAGTACCAACAGATTTGCTGGTTCAGTATGAAATTCTGGATAGATTGACTAAGTGAAAAGTTCCATGGTTTTAAAAGTATACTGCCAAACGGTTGTCAGTGATCATGAAACTAAGAAAATGAACTATGAGGGAGTGCTTTGAAAAGATGAGTCTGAAACAAGCATATAATAAAGCAAGCACGAAGACAGAAGCATTTATGATCATTGATTTACCTGGATTGACATTCACTATTACTTTAGGTAAGCTGAAGTTTTCTATGATCAAATGAAGTTCAGTAAGTTGCGTTTTCAGTGAGAACTATAATACTGGTTTCAAGAAAGTCTAAATGACCTTTCAGTTCTAGGTGTTATTGGAAAAAAATTGATGTTCGAACATCATTACTGTGTCAGATTGTCAGAAATAGGTGGCGAATCGAAGGAGGCAAACATGTATAGTTTGCATATACAAGCTGTTTAGAAGTATACATGTGAATTTGTCAACTACACCCTAGTGTGAGTTCATACAATAGCGGAAATGAACTTAGGATCATAAAAAATAGTCTACTTATACTCTTCTTTCTTTCTTATAACCGCTTTACAGCAGCAGCATCATCTTCGATATCATCAACGTCATTGGTTGGTGAACATCCGATGACTGTACGAAGACTATACACTAAACATTCTGCTGCCTGTAGGATAGCCCAGTCAGAGAAAGAATCTTTTGTAATTAGCACGCACATACCTAAACAAAGACAAAGTAAGAGCGATATGGTTTCGAATGTCTTCAGTATAAAATGCATTCATACGACTACTTACTTGTAGCATGTAGGGAAAATCAAATTTATTGCATGATTTTTGATTCAATGAATCTTGTTCACATTTCAGCTTTGCTAAATTGTCATATTTCTCCGGGATGTTGGGAATGTTAACGTAGGCGTAGTCAATCCAGTCAGATACTGGTTTACCCATCCATTCACGACTAGTATATTCTTCTCGAGTAATGTACTAAGCGTGGAAAGAAGAATTTGAACTATACGCGTTAGTTGATTTTCATGTTATAAACAAAATTTTAAGAAAGAATTTACATCAATTTAGTGAGTTGCCGACATTTGTACTGATTCAGTGAAATTTCCAGTATAAATCGACTTATCGAGTCATTAACTCTATCCAGCTGGATCGTCGAATCCTAGAGCTGCTATATCAGCCGTTTTAGTCAACGGAATAGCAACCAGTATCAAAGAATTTCATTATGATCTGGATGCTAATGTGACTTTCGATACTTGGTTTCGAAGATATGAAGACCACTTCAGAGTTGATATTGCCGACCAAAATGATTCCTGGAAGGTACGTCTCTTACTTCGAGAGCTTGGTCCACATAAGCTCGACCAACACTGCAATATGACTTCGCCGCAGATTACACGTGATCGCACTTTCGACGTCACAATCTAGACACTGAACCAGATGTCTGCAGAATATCAACGACTGGGTAACCTACAGCGTGATATGAGTTTAGCCCAGTCCGAAAGCCAGGATGGTTATGAAGTACATACATTTCGCCAGACATCTCATTCTTCCGCATCATCCTCTGGCCACACACCCCGTGGCCTTATCTCCCCAGGTCATCGGTCCAGTAACTCATGCGATACCAACCGACCCTCGAAGAAGGCACCCCTATTGCTTTGCTGACATCGGGGTACCTGATATTTCGTCAAATCTTGTCCACTTAGACAACATCGATGCCGGGACTGTAATGCAGGGGTCCATAAGAATGGTTTTTGCTGCCAACAAACACAACAACATGTGCAGATATCACTGCAGATCTCATTCTCGATAGGTAGATAAAACTCTTGGCTTGATAGCTGATTCTAATGCTCATGCACCTGTCCACCGAAAGAATATCAAGAAGACTACTGATCGCCCAGTAAACAAGGTGAAGCTCTCTGCGTCGGTCAGATAGACTCAAAAAAAAGATAGTGCGACCCAGTCTGACCCCAAATAGCATTCTTTCGAAGAGGGAGGTGATCTGCGGATAGACAGAAAAGCCGGGCGACTTTAAAGGCTACCCTAGTAACAAGTGAAATGACCAATCAGTCTTTTGTATTTTACCTGGAAAAGTACTTTTCCATAAAATAAAAAATGCAATTAGTAGTCTCAGCAGCTGCTAGGGTGGCATATAAAGTCACCCGACTCCAAAGGTTACCCTAGTAACTGCTGAAATAGCCAATCAGGATTCTTCAGTTAATAAAAATCCACCTTGTCAGCCGAAATATTGAAACCTGATTGGTTGTCTCAGAAGATTCTTTTAAGTGTCTTATAAATTACTATTTAACCTATATACTTCCTGAAAAGCTTTATGCTAGATTAGAACCTTATCCCAATTTCGGATAACGAACACCACTATGGTTATATAATAAACACGCTATTCAGCTCATTATTTTGTTACACATGGAATATTATTGTTCAAAAATGTAATTTAAAGTAGACCAACTTCATCTTCATAAGAAAAGGATTCAGTTAAAGTATGCCTACTTGTTTGTCCTTTTGTTTCTTAACAGTTCATATTCATGGTGTAAATCTGGAATACCTTCAAAACTTTAAAATCTCATGTCCAATAACATTGTCCCCTTTCATTCAATTTATGTTTAACTTCATGTTAAGTTGAAACACTTCTAGCTAGTATGCTAATCACTAAATATAAAAGAAAGTGTAACTCCCAATGTTTCATTTGATTTTCAAACTTTAGAGTTCCTTGCAGAAATAGCATGAAAGTTAAATAAGTTTTGATAGGAGATAGAAGAAAGTTGTTATTCATCGTAGACTGACATCAGTTGGAGGAAAGAAAGGAAACCTGGGAGCACTGGACATCTGTTTCGTCCTAGTATGGGACTCCTCAGCAGTGCGTACCCACCACCCCGCCAGGGTCGAACTCTTTGTTCCTCCAACTGATGTGAGTCTACGATGAATAACAACTTGTAATATTTCCAAATCCCCACAACTCCCTCAAAATTCAATAGAAGAAAGTGTCTTTTATTTATTATAGTTTGGAGTAAATAAGACCGTGCAGATGATTTTCAACTGAAGGTTGAAAAGTTGATCTTTGCATTACCACATTTATCTTTTAAGGGACTAGAGGATTAAAAATTATACCCTTGAGAAACTTGATTTTGTTACTTAAACTGTTATACTGGTAAAAGATATTGGAATCAGCTTCTTAAGAGGTTTTCAAATCACGAGTAATAGAGTCAATTTTGTAAGTGTTATACAGCAGAAGTAAATCATTTTATGCTGTCCGGCGCTAAGAGCATAAAAACGTGAAGACTTATCAACTTAGTTGATGAAAACGCTCTAAAGACAGATTTTAGCAAGGTGTATGTATATAAGCATTGATTTCGAAGCCCTTAATTAACCTGAGATGATTGAAGGTGAGATGAAAACCTGAGTTGCAGCAAAATCCCAACCAGAGGCTTCCTAGCTAATGGCCCGGTGCTCTCCTAACGGAGATACTGACCAGGTCTTAACCTCACTTCAATCACTGGGGCTGTCACCCGGCTGCCATGTGAATCCATGGTGTATCACTATCCATTCATCCTACTAGTACTGGCTATCCAGGCAGGTTTTCTCATCCCAATCCAGACTGTGTTGAATCAGAAAGAACCATTGTCGTTTTGACCATTCATTAGAACAGATAAGATAGCAGTAGCTTAGTGCGCTGACTTTATTGATGCAAGCTGATTATTGTAGGGAAATGAAAACCTGGTCAATCAGCTGGGCCTCGTAGCTCAGTTAGCAGATCACTGGGCTACTTACTGGAGGTTGCCAGTTCGAATACGGCCGTGACACAGGTATTCGTTTTATCGTCAGTCACCCCCCAGTATCAATAAAATTGGTCTATCAAACCAAACGTACCGTAGACAGTCTCATTAATAACCACTATTGTCTGTTAGACAAATGAAGCATCACTAAAGAGTGAGTACAAAATTATGCAGAAACACCAAGGTCAAACTAAAACTTTGGGTAAAAAAGGATTCAAAAGCCATAATAAATTTAATACATCAAGCTATTCACTGTCATAAAATCTTAGTTACATACTAGTCATGAAATCCATATCTCTAGTTAGAAAGTGTAACAATATTATGGTTGTTGTTGACAGTAAATGATACATTACATGTTTTGAAGAAATCGAATCCGCTACTTTCTTATGGCTAATTTTTGTCTCTAAAACGAGAAAGTGAATCCTTAATTTCTTAACTAGGTTAGTAAACATATGGCTCTTAGTTAGTTGGGGGCGATCGGCAGAAAGTCCTGAACCTAGGTTTCGTGCTTACTGGTACTTGTCAGCAGGGCATATCTGCAACCTAGAGGCGACTGATATCCCCTTTGAGATTCAAACCTGCATCAACCAGTGTTGTAGTGAGCAACCTAACCTCTGAGATATTTGGACACTGATTGATCACATGTAAGACTGGACTACATATAGTGATTGGCCAGCGGAGAGCAACTAATCTTGTGTTGTCTAGTCCTAAGTGCTGACCGATTACTTTACAAGCTAGGAGGTTTACTATCACTGTGCACTTTCGTGAATGTTAGCTGGTTGAAAGCAATCAACAGGAAACCCTGGATCAAGATATCTTACTTATTGGCATTGTCCTTGGTGGCAACACTGTAAAATGACAGATAGCAATCGGTTAACATTCAGCACTTGATGACATGAGATTGGTTGCTCTCCAGTGACCGATCAATTCAACAAGTGGTTAATCTAAAAGTGTTGTAGGACCTTGACATAAGTAGTTTGTTTACTTTCTATCCCTGACACTGATAGAACGCATGGTATGCAAATGTAAACTAGTCACTACATCACCTAACAATGAAATAATTAATGTCACTTTCCTATTTCCGACTAAAGTCATAGAGTAAAAAGCAAAACAAAAAGAGTGGCTTTCGGATCTGTAGACAAAGGTTTTCAATGTGAACCTAAACTAACAAAATCTCTACTCACAAAAATAAAGACATTCCTTAAACTTCAAATTTTACGGTATCTAAGTGACTGGAAAGCGACGAGTTGGGCGTCCGAGATGAAGGTGACATGGAGGAGATCGTGCGAGGAGGAAATGAGAGTTTGTGGGCTGTCGTGGAGCCAGGTTCAAAAGATTTCAGAGAACAGAGAGCATTGGAGGCGTGCTGCTGAAGCCCTAAGTTCCATTAGGAACCCAAGGGACAAATAATATAATAATAATAACAATAAACTTACATCTTCCTTATCTGAAGATGATTCTGCTGTGTTTTCTAGTCCGTACTCATCTTCCAAATATTTATCTGGAGCGATAAATTCAACCGGTTTTTTTGAAATGAAACCGATTTCCCTGGAAAAAAAATAATTCATTGGATGAATTTGGAAATACTTTTGATATCTAGATCAGAACTTTCCTCTTCTTTATCTTCTTCGATGGGTTCATTATCAAGTACATCTTTATCTTCACTCGCCTCACTCAAGCGAGCAACTGATAAAACAGATTGAGATTATTTCGTGATAACATTTATTTACTATCTGATTCAGCTTCAGAATGTCCACCGCTTCTTCTTCAAGAGTCTGAGTGAATTGGCACTTAAAAATGCGCTCGATCCCATCATAACACAAAAGTGAATAACATTCCAGATCCATAGGAAACAATTTCCAGCTACAGTCTGAACCTTGTCCAACTTGAAAATTCTAACAGGAAATATCAAATAAGTGTTTTCAAATGTGAATAAATTTGAGTTCGAATAACTTTCTGGATATTTGGGATTTGGTCGACTAGCTGTTGATGATAATACATTTAATATAAGGAGGTTTAGCTTATCCGGGATTAGTTGCTTGAAACTAATGTTTTAGATGAACACTGAAGTGTATATAACAAAAAAGTGGATTTATACATAATTTCATCTTTAGATCTTGAGTATACACGGACATAGCAAGAATCTCCTACGATTTGTTTACCCTTGAGGTATAAGAAGCATACTGAAAAAGAGACAGACAAAATTAATGTAAAAGCTCTCACACAACTGCATCAGTGCAATTCGCCACACTTCACAGTAGTATACAAAGAATTGATAGGTAGATAGAAAAAGAGTGATATCAAAGTAGAAAAACTTGTGTATGAGAATAAATAATTTGAAGGTGATGGTTAGCACAAATATTCCAGCTTTAGAAGATGTCAGGCAGTGAACACATTTGCGCCATTGTCATCGATTTTCAGCCATGTCACCAAGATTCCTCAAACACTGATTCTTATCCTCCAGAGACCCCAGCTGGACAGTCTACAACTCCCCAGCATGGATCAGGTCAACAGTCATGGACTTCGTCGACTGGTGCCACGTCTTAGTCAGGCTCATTGAATCCTCTTTAGACCTAATCCAACCTCCCTAGAACTACACGTTGAGATAGACGATGGCTCTACATGCACATTACATGCCCCAACCATTTCAGTCGACTAAGGTTCACAACCTCCTCAACCGACTTGTTTTTTTGTCTAGTATCCTTCTACTAACCTTAAAACCGCTCACACGATGATTCCATCATATGTGAGCAATGCTACGAAAACATCTGCGGTCAAAATCCTGTAACCGCCTCATGTCTTCTACTTCTAAAGCCCATGTCTCACAGCCGTATAACAGAAAAGACGCATATTGACAACACTATATGCCACTTTTAGGTTCTATCTTTGAATACTCCCTATTAAGTTTGGTCATGAGATTAGATTTAACAATTTCTAAAGTAGATGTTTACAGTCCCTAAGGAAAGTCCAAAACATTACCAGATTTCCTTTTGGCTTCCAGTAACCTGTAGGTTGAGAACTAGTACAACTTTCATGCACGTTTCAACCGCAGGCAGAAAATCAGTTGCGTACATCATTTCTGAATCCCTGTTTAGGTACTTCTATCCTTTTTTAGCTTCACGAAGAAAATCTATAACCTCAGATTCTAAGTAAGGTTATATTTAGCTGTTGAAAACGTAATCGAAACACCTGGTATAAAACTGTTAAGAAAGGTTGTCATATGATTACGGCAATCGAATTTCAGTGAAATGCTTTCCCATTACAGCTAGAATTCGATTTGAGATGATAGGTGGTTGAAATATGCAGATATTTCTCTGTTAGGAATTAGTGTATCTTCATGCTATAGAGGTAAGTGACAGGTATAGCAGGTAAAACACCTTACGCCTTTCAGAATTCAATGTAACCTCATCACAGATGCATACACATATTATCGTCATCTTAACCCCTATACTTAACTTCATCATTCTCTCATTCCTTCTTCCTCTCTCTACTACTTTCTACTTCTACTTCTTTTGACCGATTTTTCTTTCCTTCTTCACCTTCCATTTTATTGCCTTGTTACTTGATGTGTTGATACGAGGTGTGACAACTTGGACCATTATGCAGTGATGCCTGGTCCTGTATTGATCTTAATGGTGAAATTTTAGCTTAAGAGTGTATAAGCAATCTAAGTAAGGAATTTACAAAAGTTCAATCACCTTTTTGGTAGATATTCTTCTCATCTGCTCCAATCTACTTTGTCAAGTAAGAATGTATGAAAAGCAAATCCTTTTCCAGATATGGACACCTACACTTGATTGTAAATAAACTCAGAAGTAAAATGTTGTATCCACTCCCAGGCAAAAGTGAGCGGAAACTCATTGTTCTCCTAAGACTGACCATTTATAATGCCTGATTGGTACATTTGTTTTTCACCTAGGAAGTAAAAAATATGACTAAACCTACATCTGTCCAGTATCATTATTCCGTATTCTCCTATATTCAGTAGGGGCAGATTTTCAGTCTCTTGTTTTTGATCTTGATCAGGTCCTAATAGAAGATGGAGACATTCATTGGCTTTGTACTTCCGTACAAATCTAAAGATAATCTGTATATAACAGTTTTCCATAATTCTTAACGGACAGTTGTTCAGGAACATCAGACTAACTAATGGGCAAGATTGTGTTCCAGTTAGTGAACAGTAAAAAACTACTTTCCTTAACGTTGAAGAGTATTAAGGATTTGAGGTTAAGATAGTAGCCACGTTTTTTTGGTGTCACCCTTTGATTGAATGTAGGTCCAAGTTCCTACTCAGTTTTCAGAGATAAACCCAGAAGACTTAAAATGACAATGCAGTGAGTCTATCTTGGGATCGATAAGAGCTGGTTATCATTTGCTGGTGACGGCTTCAATTCATACAGTGGTGTGCTGAAGTACAATTATTTTCTTTTTTAACTTCGTTTATGTTATGAAACTTGGTAATAGAAATTATGGGAGTAGTAGTTTCTAAGCTAGTACTAAAAACTCTAGGGTGGCCGATGTTATTCTTTTGACGTCTCGGTATGTTAGGACAGATATTGAGTGATCAAAGTCAGTCTTATTATACTTTGTCCAATTGCATACTTAAATTTTATCCCATAGCAATGACACATAGAAGTCGCCAATGAATGAACTTTCCATCAGTATATATAACATATGTTGCAATACACAGTGATATCGTTGGAGTCAAAGGAATGGACATTTCAACGTTAACAGAACTAGTGACCTATTCCTTAAACAGTAATGCTAACATTTTAATGGTCCATCAAGAATGCATCATTAGAGACCGTTATGCTGGACAGTACGAGAAGAAAAAAAATAGGGTACAAATGTAAATTTCAAACTGGAACTTAAGGAAAAATTAAAACACTGGAAAGAAAAACGTTCCACAGAAAATGGAAATATTACTCTCCATTCCAATCTCCTCCTCTGCTCTCCCATTTGTCTATGATATCAAAATATGGGGAACAATAGGTGAGGAAAATGACCCTAGGACACTCCAAGACGATTGATTACAGTTGGAATCCTGGAGAGTCGAGAATGATTTGAGCTTCAACCTGAAGAAATGCAAGGTGATGTATCCTTGAACTCAGGAATTGATAAGAACTGGCTTCACCTTCATTAACTGTGCAATTACCAAAGTATCCATGTAGTAGGCCCTAGGATTAAACGTCTCTGACACTCTAGATGCTAGTGCCAACTGTAAGAGCATGGCCGCAAAGACAAATGCCATCATGCGCTTCCTAAAAAGGCAACTCGTATACCTAATCCCTGAATCAGTTCTCATAGTTTTCCAAACTTATACTTAGCCGTACTTAGAGCTATTCAACACGATAGCCATTCCCCTAATAGAGAGATGCAAAAACTCTCAAGAAGGTTCAGAAGAGGTGAAATAGCCAGTTGTCAGATCAACAGGTAAACCATACGTGCAACGCCTCAGACAGTTCAACTTGTCCACCTTGTTCCGTGGAGCTGGAGATGCTAGAATTCTGAGATTAACTCCGGTTTTTTCTAAGGGATGGTGTCGCGGTTAAATAAATACACCGGCAGATAGCTGCAATCTTGAGGTGGTGGTCAGGTTGCATATCATAATGGCCCAACAAGCTATACTGATGAAATGATTGTTTTTCTAAGATTTTACCACGCCAGAAAGATCTGCAGGAAAATGGCAAGATGAAAAGCAGTTACCGTTGTATTGTAAATTGTTACACTATGAAAGGGGTCTGAGAGCAAAGTCGTACTGCAGCTACCTGGATGGGTGTGAGAGTGGTAAGGTGTTTCCCTTGGATGACCAGCAGTGCCACACTGATGCTATCTTCCCAACGAAGAGGAGGAGATTAGAAAAGGTCAGCCCAAAGATAGCGCACTCCACTACGCCCAACTGTCTTCCGGTGCCGGTAGCGTGGGTTTTCTGTATCCGGCGTTCAAACCTCAAAACAGCACTTCGTGAAAAGGCTGAGTGTGACAAGCCTCAAGCAGATGCCAATGAAATATGTGGTCACAAAAATCTTTTCCTCTTTCAGTCACCTCAAGAGGAAATAGCCTTCCACGGTGTTGGCAACCGAAAGTGTCAACTGCCCCCACGGTTCCAGTAGTAAACAAGACCCAATCAAACAAAACCTATCCTCTTCAACTTTGTCTTCTCCTTCGCCTTCACATCTTCTGATACTAATATTAAGCCTTTTGCGCCTTCCCCAACCTCTCACTCTTCAACTATTGCCAACGATCAAAGCCATCGAATCTGATGCCTAGTCTCCTAAGACTTTTCCATCGATTTCATGCTAACCGAAACTCTGGAATCTCGAACCATGAATACATGTTATGTCTCTAAAACACGTATACAGGACCCCAGCGTGGTTATTAAATTGACCTCAAATGGCTATAGTAGTGAATCTTCGAAATCCACATTAGGGGTATCTGGAGAACCAATGGCTAGCTCTCATGGTATATGCAGAACACTGAGTTGTAGGGCAGAAAGTGTGCTTCTAGTCCGGATGCCGGTCAACAGCCATCTACGTGTTGTTCGACTGAATTTATCTGTAAGGACTGGGAAGGATAGTCAAACCAACCGAAGCCTATTCGTAATTTCCCCCTAAACAACCACGGACCGCAATTTGGACGATGGAAAGGATGAACTCTATGAGATGCTGTAATTGTGGTCATAATGGGAGGTGACTTTAACGCTCAAATAGGGAGGCTGAGTCAACCGGAAAGGAATCTTAGAGGTATTTACTGAATCCCGAGCCAACTAAATAACAAAGGCGATCTTTCGTTGAAATTTTGCTCAAACAATCACTTGTTTTTGGCTGGCACTAACTTTAGGCATGAGGAGAAACACTGTCTCACATAGCATCCGCCAGCATCAACCAACGATGGATACAGATAGATTACATTACTATAAGATATAATTGGAGGGGATAGGTGGACGACCGTCGCTTTTTCTGGAGTAAAGGTATGTCTGTGAATGTCTGCACCTAACCGGTCGAAGGAAATAGGAGATAATAAAGCCTGTCTATTGTTGACAGAAGATCAGGACATCAAGTACGTAAGCTAAGCATTTATTTGAATGTGATAGGAAACCTCATCTTAAGGAAACCTAGCGTAATATTAGGTCTGCTGTAGAAAAAGTAGTAAGGACAATTGGTAACCTTCAAGTGAAGATTA